TCGTGTTTGCACTATGCTGTTGTCTATTAAGGGTGCACAGCATTATGTCTAAAAAAAAGTGCATACCTTAATTAAAAAATATTTTATTGCTAAAAATTGATAACCATCATCTGCCCTTTCAGTGAGTCATAATCACTGATAACAGATCACCATAATAAATACAATAATAATGAAAACGTTGGAAATAACAAAACAGTTGCCAAAATATGACAGACATGAAGCAAGCAAAGGCAATTGGAAAAATGGCACTGATAGACTTACTTGACCGGGTTGCTACAAACCAATTTGTAAAAAACACAGTATCTGTGAAACACAATAAAGTAAAATGCACTAAAATGAGGTATGCCTATATTTGTACATTGGAATAAACTACACAAGAATGACCAAGAATGAAGTATTGATACATGCAACAAACTGGATTTATCTCAAAAACATTGAACAAAAGAAGGTAAATAAAGAGTATGTATGATTCCATTTATTTAGGGTTCAGGAACAGGCAAAACCAGCCCATCGTGGTCAGAATAGAGGGAAAGGGGTTCAAGTCGGTGGTGTAGGAAGATCCCTCCCTCCCTCCCTCCCTCCCAATGGAGACAACAAATTTACAACTACATATGGAACAATTTCCTCTCAAAAAGACCTGAACACTGGATGAATGGAGCCTCCACAACAAAGGATAGAAGGGCAGCACTGCAATGGGTAGGAGAAGCAGAGACATAATCTCACCAAAATAAACAAACAAACAAAAAGCTTCACTCGAAGTGCAACAATCCACAATCAGGAGGAATCCCAAAACTACAGAACTTTTCTCTGAGAAGTAAGGGGTCTCTGCTCCACATCAGCACCCCAACCCCTAGATCCTGCACAGGAGAGATGAGCCCTCCAAACACCAGGTTAGAAAAACAAAGGGATAACATTCAGGAAAATGATAGAACTGTCAGGAGTGGAGACCCTACTCTTAAAGGGCTTTGTGCACAGACTCACCCCAGGACCCAGCACAAAAACACCAACTTGAAGAGTGCCTAGACCTGGTGAAGGAGACCTGCTGACTAATCTTAAAGCATCTGCTAGAGAGGCAAGAGCTCGTTGGGATTTCTGCCAGGTATGGTGAGACTGGCAGACACCACTTTCGTTACCTCATTCTAACTTGCTAATGCCAGAGCTGGCAGGCACCACTGTGGATTCTCCCTTTAACCTTTTAGCACTGGAGGGTGTGCCCCTCTGAAGGCCCCACAGCTGGGTTGGGCAACCCCCCACCCAGCCGCCCATGCCATGGCTGTGCACCGCAACCAGACTAGGCAAGAGGCCTACCCACCCTTGTGCCACAGCAGGTGGGCCCATGCAGCTCAGACAGGGGACACCCCTTGAGCACCTGGGACTGGTGGCCAGGGTGGATAGTGTTTCTGAGCCCCTTGGGACATCTCCTGTGCAAGGCGATTCCTTCAAGGCTAGGAGAGATAGCTGATTGGTCTAATACATAGAAACACAGAGAGTCAGGCAAAATTAGGAGACAGATGAATACGTTGCAAATGAAAGAACAAGAAAAAACCTCAGAATAAAAACACCTTATTGAACTGGAGGCAATCAATCTACCTGAAAAAGATTTCAAAGCAATAGTTATAAAGATGCTTACTGAACTCAGAAGAAAGGATGGACACAGTGAGAACTTCAACAAGGAGATAGAAAACATAAGAAAGTATCAAACAGAAGTCACAGAGCTGAAGAATACAATAACTGAACTGAAAAATACAATTACTGAACTGAAGATTATAGTTCCTGTATTCTTACAAATATCTTTTTTTGTTTAGAGCAATCAGGCCTATCTCAAGAAACAAGAGTTCTCAAATAAGCAATCTATTTTACATCTGAAGAAACTAGAAAAAGACAGACAAATGAAGTCTAAAGTTAGTAGAAGGTAGGAAATAATAAAAATCAGGGCAGAAATAAATGAAATAAAGGCTAACAGGAAAATGGAAAAGATCAATGAAACTAAGAGCTGGTTCTCTGAAAAGATACAGAGTCAGCCAAAAAAGAAAAAAAAAGAGCTTATATAAATAAAATGAGAAATGGAAAAGAAGAAGTTACAACAGATACCACAGAAATACAAAGGATTATAAGAAACTGCTATTAACATGATTGTATCAACAAATTGAATCAACAACCTGAAAGAAATGGATACATTACTAGAAACATACAGTCTTCCAAGACTGAATCACAGTGGAATAGAAAATCTGAGTAGACAGATGTGTAGTAAAGAGATTGAATCAATAATCAAAAACTTCCCAACAATCAAAAGCCCAGGACCAGAGTTTCATTGGTGAATTTTATCAAACACTCAATTTACCAAACATCCCCAAACATTCACCTATTATTCTCAAAGTCTTTCCCTCAAGAAAGAGGAGGGAATGCTTCCAACCTCATTTTATGAGGTCAGCACTACCCTGATTTACCATCAAAATAAAGCATTTACCATCAAAATAAAAAGCCCTGCACCATGAAGGAAACCATAATCAAAACATAAAGGCAACATACTAATGAAAGATGATATTTGTAAATCATATATTCAATATGGGGTTATTATACAAAAAATATAAGGAGCTCAGATAACTCAATAATAAAAAAACACCCTAATTTTTTTTTAATGAGAGAGCATCTGAGCAGAGATTTTTCTAAAGAAAATGAATACATACAAAAAGGATACATACAGATGGCCAACACACATACAAAAAACGTTCATCACTAATTATCAGAGAAGTGCAAATTAAAACCACAATGAGATATCACCTCATACCTGTTAGAATGACCATTATCTAAAATACAAGAAATAGCAAGTGTTGGAGAGGATGCAGAGAGAAGGTAACCCTGTATACTGTTGGTGGGAATGTAAATTGGTGCAGTCACTATGGAACACAGCATGGAGAATCCTCAAAAATTTAAGAATAGACCTACCATATGGTTCAGCTATTCCACCTCTACGTATTTACCAGAAGAACATGAAAACTCTAATTTGCAAAGATATATGAACCCGTATGTTCATTGCAGCATTATTTACTATTGTAAATAGTAAATAAGTAAATAAGATATTTATTTATCAAGAAATTGTAAATAGTAAATAAGATATGGAAATAACCTAAGCATCCATTGATGGATATATAGATAAAGAAGATGTGAAAGTGAGTAACTAAATAAATAATGGAATACTACTCAACCATAAAGAAAGAATGAAATCTTGCCATCTGTGATAACATGGACAGATGATCAAGGCATTATGCCAAGTGAAATAAGTTAGAGAAAGACAAATACTGTATGGTATGATTCATATGTGGAATTTAAAAACAAAACAACAAAACAAACAAATAAAGCAATACAAAAACAGAGAATAAATTAATGGTTACTAGAAGGAAAGGGGTTTGGGGAGAAGGAGAAATGGGTGAAGAGGGTCAGTTGTTTGGTGATGGATGGTGACTAGACTTTTGGTGGTTATGACTTTGCACTGCATACAGACATTGAATTACTGTTGTAGACCCAAAACTTATTTTAGGAAAAGAATAATGGTGACTCCTGCAGGTTTTTGACTGGAAAGGGAACTAATGGAGCCTTCTCAAGCTCAGGAAATATTTCATATCTTGATTTGGTCATGGTTATACAGGTGGATACATAGGTAAAAATTCATAGTGCTGTATTCCTAGGAATTGTGTGCTTTAGTGAATGTTAAAACAAAACAAACAAATATCTAGAACACATGGATAAACTTTTACGATTTTCCAGCAATCTTTGATGAATATTTAATCCAAACTTGAAAATACTTCATTAGATGTAATGATGTTTAGAAGCCTCTTCTAAGGCTTTTGGTGCAAAACACCAAAACTCACATACCAGATATGAATATTTGTTTTCCTTTTCAAATAAAAATTGTGGAAATAATACATAGAAAAATACAGGCTAACTAAAATGCATTCATTTGTCAGCAAATACTGCTAAGAGACACAGAACATATTGCTGAAGATGTTCAAATACAAGTATTTGAAAAATAAGCAATATGGGACATTTGCTGTGCAGTTGGATGAAAGTGCAGTGTGTATTTTTTTAACATGTATCAGTGTATGGTATTTGCTAAATTTTGTTTCAGTGATGACAACATGAAGAATTTAGTTGTTTGAAAACTATTAAAGGAAAGATGTAGAAGAGAAAACATTCTCAATAACATATGACTTTATTAAAGATGATGTTTTATGGGAAAAGGGTATATAGATGTAACCACAATAGGGATGGCTACGTTGATCTCAATTTTTAATAAAAGTTCTAGGGTCAGGTTTTAGAGTAAGCACTGCAAGAGGGGCCCATGCACGTGTCATTTACAGGCAAAACAGTAGCATGAGAGAATTAAAAGGTAAAATGTACACAAAGTGATACAAGGTGTCATCAGTGTGATTAATATCATGAAGGAAAGAGTTAAAATACAGTCAAATCTTTATCCAGTGTTATACTAGCAGGTGGTAACCTTAAGAAACAGATGTTGTCCTGTTTGGAAAAAAAAAAAAGTTTTCTGACCTTTTCTGGGATGACATGGAGCTTTCAATATTACAGGTATATAGCAAGCAAACTGAAGAAAGAACCAGATTTCATCTGGAATGTCAAGTCAAGGTGCTGCTTGGAACAATGAATTAGAAATTAACTTCTTTCTGAAAGAAACATGCTACAGAGAGATGATTTTGAAACAGATAGATCTAAATGTTTCCAATGTGTTGTTATTTTGATTTAGTTACAAAAATGATACATGTGGTCACCATAAATATATCTAGGTACACGTTTTAACATTTAAAAACAAAATGGCTATTTTTCAAATGAAATATTTAACTGGGCTGTGTGCCTAATTATTACACACATGAAACCCATTGTTTAAGGGATACACAGTTTCAGGTTTGCAATGAAAAACTTCTCAAGATTGGTTACAAAACAATGTGAATGTAATCACCATTAGAACAACATAAAACTGCAAACCCTTCGAATTCAGTTTCAAGAACAACTAATTAATATCAAAGGAGATAGAGAATGACTAACCACATTTCTTGAATGTGTGTTTTTGATCAATTGATGGGTGGGACAGAAAAATGGAGTCATGATTCACTATGGCCCATGATGCCTGTCTGACATTTGGAACCAGACATCTTTTAAAATTATTGTATACAGCTCAACAGTAATACAAACCAAGTATTCAGGTAAACTGAATTTAGAACTAGGCTGTCACATTTCAATATGACAGAGTGGTAAACCAATAAAACAAATAATGAAGTATTTGCAATCAAATCACTCTAAAATATTTATCATTAATGTTTTTGTGATAACAGAAGATTTTTAGTAATATTAATAAAATAAAAATTAAAGCAAATGTATTCATCTATTGTTTAGCATTTTAGAAGTTGATTTTGTCAAATTTTATTGTAGGCATAGTTGCTATAATATGTGACCGAACAAACACACAGGTATACGGATATTAGGGATGTACCTTCAAAATATTTTTCTCATGGGAGGTCTCAGATCAAACACCCCAATCCCCTTCCCTGGTTCAATCACCTACAGAGCTTAGCCTTCTCCCTCTGCATCCCTCCAAGTGCTTGGCCAGTTGGTGCCTAAATGAGTCAAGTGCCAGGCAATGGCTGCATCCCAGAGGCCAGGGGATCCTGGAAAGGGTTGAAAGTTTCTGTCTTATGCCGAATCAGAACCTGCCATCTGGAGCTTCTGCTCATTGGCCCTAGCCCCTGCCCTTAAAACTCAGCACACACTGGCTCTTGTTTGGCTGGATGTCCCTCAACAGGCGTTTAGACCATGCCAACCCCTCAGACTTGTCTCAGAGTGGATTCTCACTCGTTTTTGGTTGTCCAACATGCCACCCCAGGACTTTGGCTCTTGAGCAAGGGACACAAAGATGTAGGATTGTTGGAGTGCCTAACTTTCCTTAGGGGTCCTTCTAAAGGTCAGGTGTGTCTCAGCACGACACCAACACATACAAACACAACTCTTAACTCCCCAACCATCCCAAGCCATCCCCCTATCAGTAAGTAGTATCTCCTTGGGCCAAAAACCTAGCAGTTAGTTTTGACTCTTGTCTGTCCCTTCAGTCTTTACCTAATCCATCCATACTCTCAGCTCCACCTCCAAAGAATATCTTGTGTCTTGCTACTTTCTTACTATTCTAACAGTTAGTACTCCAACTGGGCTTCCTCCTTGGCGTCTACAATCCACTCCCTGCACAGAAGTCAGAGTGATCCTGTCATCAGGTACCAGACGGCGTGAGCCCCTGCTCAAATCCTTCCAGGCACTTGCTATTTCACTCGAAATCCATAATCCTAACCATGGCCTTCTCCATCCGCAGTGACCACCCAGCCTCCACCCCCTGCTGGGGCCGCTCTTTCCCCAGATTTACACAGCTCCTCCGTGTGCTCAGTCAGAGTTCTTCTCTGATGACTTCACTGGAAAGGACAACCCTGTTCCCCCAGGTGAAGCAGAACCCCCACGCTCTACACCTGCCCTGCCCTCCCCTACTCTTCTTCATGAGCCCTCCCCACCACTTGTCATTTTCACTGCTGCCCCCACCCTCACCCCATAAGAATGTAAGGCCCATGAGAGGAAGGACAAGGCTTGGCTCACTCTCTGTCCACAGCACCTGGACCGACCATGATTGGCACAGAGCAGGTGCTCAGTAGTCTGGGGAATGAAAGAATGGGAGATCCTGCTGCCTGGCTATCTGGGGCCAAAGGGTTCCTGTCCATTTCTCAAGTGCAGTCCTTCAGCCACCCAGGTTTTCTGAGCTCTGCGGACCTCCCATAAATGCCCCTCTTGCTTAAGCTTGCCAAAGTTCCTTTCTGTCGCCGCCTCCCAATGAGCCCTAATTGCTACATCTCTTCACAGCAAATACTTTCATTCCTGTTCAGGTGTTCTCACCTACTCTTGGGATGGGAGGTCAGTAGGAGTGGGTCCAGTGAGGGCCAACAATGGCCTTGGCAGAGGTGTGGCAGGACATGGGGTGAAGGAGGCAGACAGCACAAGTCCTACTGACTTTATTTCCTGTCCCCTCCCACACAGCCACCACCTGCCTACGCCCAGCAGGCATAGCCCTACCTCCGCAAGAACCTCTTACCCAATTTCTTGTAACTCTGACCCTCTCTGAACCGCTGTCCATGCTGCAGCTACACAGACCCTCCTAACATGTGAGCCTGACATGCTATCCACCTCCTGAAAGCCTTCTGAACCCCTTTTGCAGTAAAGGTTTGTCCGTCCCACATGCCTCTCAGCCTCATCGCACAGCCCACATACCTGCAGGTCAGCTGTTCTGGCCTCCTCCGAGTTCTCAGCCCTCACTCCCTCCTGCCTCTGCACTTTTCATATTCTGTTCCCTCTCACCTACCCTCTTTAGCCTAAATGCAGCTATCGGGGTTATTGGAGCAGACACTGCCAGGGCCCATGGGTCCTGGGGCTTTGGTGGAGGGGTCCCTCCATCCAGCACCTGCCTCTCTCTGTCCAGGGGTCCTCTCTGACTGCTACCCAGCATTCAGCCAGCTTCCTGTGGGGGTTGGGAGGGTCGGAGTGGTCAATGCCCTGCTCGGGCACCTTTCAACCAGCGAGGGACAGAAATTGGTGATGAACACCCAGCTCCCACCACCCCTCGGTGAGGGGACGCTTGAGTCTGCATGGTCTCTCAAGAGCATCCACAGCAAGAAGAGTCGTCCGCAGTGGTCAGTGTCCCCTTGACATGCGCTTTCTTGGCTTCTTTCTCTGCCTCCCTCTCTGCACTCACACCCCAGGTGAACGACTTGCATCCAAACCCTGTCGACTTGCAGGAGAACCTAGGAGAAGAGACATCCTTCATAGCACCATACATCATTTGAAGTAACCCACTTTATGATTGCTCTATTAAGGTCTCTCCAATAAACACTGCATTTGCTGAGGGAAGTCTAGTCTGTTTTGTTTCTCAAAGAATTCCCAGGGCTCCACACCCTGCCTGGCACCTGCTAAATACTCAATAACTACCTGATAAATGGAAACATGAATGACTTGAGCCGGTACTAAATCTGGTCTCATCCACTTCCTCTCTGTGTGACTTGGAGTGAGTGACAACGAGACCTCTTTTGGCGCCAATTCCCTCTGTGTGAAAGGAAGCTAATAATGCTGTCCTCCCAAGCTGCTAAGGGAGGAAATGAAACCATGTATGAAAGAACTTAGGATATACTGAATGCTCAGTAGCCGCTACCACTGCGACTTCCTCAGGTCTAAAACAGAGCTGAACATTAGGGGCACCTGAGGAGCAAAGTGACAGTGCCCAGGGCCAGAGAATCAGGACAAACGCGAGGAGAGCAGACACATCCTGAAGACGCCAACACCTGCTCAGGCTGGTTTTACTCGCTCGCTGCCTGTGTGGTGGGACATGACATTGATGTGTTCTTGGACAAACAGACACCCTTGATTGACATTTAGGGCCATTGCACCACGAGTGTTCTGCTCTGAATGGGGTCCTGAATCTCCACACACCAGTGACAGGGGACACCGTAGGAGGGGGAGTGGACAAAAGGTCCTGTGGGGGCACATGAGCACTAGGAAACTCACCCCAGGCAGGCAGGGAGCTGCCCTCATGCCAACCCGGCTCCCAGGTGCCCAGCAGCACCCTCTGTCCTGAATATTGGACATGCTTCAGTGGCCACGTCCTTGGCTCAGGGCACATTTCATGGCACGAGAGCAACACCTTGGAGCTTGTCTAGTGAATGTTCTCAGGCGTGGCTGTTCGAGAAGTGACCCAAGGTCCCTTACGTCTAATAAGTTGCCAATTTGATCAGAATTGCAGAAGATTGGTGTGAGGAACGAATCATCACATAGCTGGTGACCGAACGTGCCCAACAGCCCGGCATTCACCCTCAGTGTGGATTTGTAACTGTGTTTATAGTAGTGTGTGTGTGGTGACTGTCACTGAGGATCTGTAGGGATTTCCAGTTCAGTTGGACCTTATTTCATTTTTACATTAATTTATATATAATAGTTTATATGTACATATTTTCACTTTTACATGTATTTTGATATATATTGTTATAACATTTTATTATGTAAATATGGTATATTTATGTTACTATATATTATCTTGTTAAAGCATTTTGCTACAGTAGAACACTGAAGGTTTCTAAAGACTTCTAGACACAATCCTTGTAACATCAAGGTTCCACTCTAGCATTTAGGATCACCTAGCCTGACTTGAAACATGAGGATCTTGGGTCATCCTCCATCCCCTGCGTAACTGGAAACAGTTCTACTTACTCCTCCCCTGCCTGCTGGACATGTGAGTGTGGCAGAAATGTTCACCAGCAAAGTTTTTTCTCTACCATATTTCTGATTGATGGTGCCATACAGGTAGGAGTGAGTGGACATCTGTTGCTCTTGCCTGCCCAGCATCCCTAACTTCTTTTAATAAAGGAAGTCATGATATTTCTTTTAGGGACCCAATTTATCTTAGGTCAAACCAGTGAGGGCTAAAAATGGTCAGTGAGGGAGACAATCTGAGAATAAAGCCAATGTGGAGGAAACCAGAACAGAGATATGGATAAGACCAAATCCAGATAATACAGTTGAACTCCTGGATCAAGCCATGCCTGAAGCCTAACTTTTCCAATATTAGCTTCATGAGTCAATTATATCTCTTTTCTGTTTAAACAAGTTTGGGTTGGTTTTCTGTCTTTTGCAAAAACAGAAAGAGTCTTGGCCAGTACACAGAGCTTTCTCTAGCCTGGGCTTATAAGGATCCCATGAAACTTTTGGAATTTAGGCAATGACAGGAAACTCAAAGGTGGCTACTGTCAACTGGTTCTTATGTCTACATGTGTAATCAGCCTTACATCACTGTGTTCCACAGCATCCTTTCCAAAGACACAGGAATAAAAGAAAGTCATTCATATTGAGGAATCAGTTGTAACTCTCCTTCCCACGAAAATCATTCAGCTCACCATGTAAGATTACTTATGATTTCTTCTTTCTTTCCAGGCTGCCTATAATCAATAATCAGAAGTCAGACAAATCCTGGCCCTGCTACATACTGTGTGACTTCGGATTATTTACTTAACCCATCTGATCCTGAATTCCTTGTATGTGTAAGAATTTTATCTACATTCTAGGTTTTCTATAAGGATTCAAGGGCATATATGAAAAGCCTTAAATTGTTTACAGCATACAGCTGACACTCAAAAAGAGATAGGTGATTATATTACTTGCTAGACATTTATTGAGATCTTTCTGAGTGCCAGGCCCTGGGGCTAAGAGTTTCACAGGCATTATTTCATTTAATCATTCCCCCAAACCCTGGGAGGTGTGCTGTACTGTGCTCCCCAGGGGCCAGACACTGTTTTAAGTACCTCACACATGAAGAAATCCTTAAAGCCTCACAACAGCTGTAACACCGAAGTTAAGGAGCATGGCCTAGGCTGCATCTCTGTTCCCCAGTCCATGCTGGAAGGCTGGGCACTACTGTGCCTCCAAACAGGGCAGTCCCTGAGATGATGGAGGTGCATAACAGTGTCCCTTGGGCTCTCCCTGCCTCAAGTCATAATCAGAAAGCAGAATCCAGGCAGCTGCTGCATTCCAGGAACCAAGAACCAAATCAAGATTTATAATGGGGAGAGCTGTAGGATAAAGCACAGAGAGTGAGTCGGAAGATACCAGGCTGGTTTGCCAGCACATCGGCGAAGGGACAAAGGAGCAAGCATGGCTGCCACATTCCTGATTCTGCTAAGGACTCTCTTTGGCTCCTGGGATGGAGACCTGGGCTCTAGCTGTCAGAGCAAACCCACCCAGACAGTGGTTCTGGGACCAATAAAACAATGACTGGAAAGCAATGATCTACAAGATATTCTTGCTGTATTTTTTCCACAGAAATCTACTATACTGCTAGCTAAATTCTTGGAAACCTGGAAATCCCCCAAAAGTGGTAGAAGCAGCTTTTCTCCCTCTTTTTTTTTTTAACTATTTCATCAAAAGAGATAGAGAAAAACCACATTTCTTGGATTTAACTTTGTTCACACAAACTTTCTTTTTTTAAAAAATGAGAACTGACACCATTTAACGTAAGCATGAAACTATCACTCCAATAAATCTTTAAAAAGTTGCCTATAATTGTGTGGCTTTGAAAAACTAATTTATTTTCAGATGAAAATACCCCAAACAGGTCTTCTGGGTGAAAATTTTTGGTCCCCCACCTCCCTTAGGAGGCAAGTAGAACGATGGGAAGGGGCAGGGGTGCGCTGAGCGCAGCCAAATAAAAAGGCTGCCTGCAACTTGCCTAAAATAGAAAATAAAAGTTAGCCACTGCGTCCCGCTCAGCAGGCCCCTCTTCCCTCTGTGGAGCAAGTATCAGGCAGGATGCCGCCCCAGAGCCTCTGAGGATGTGCAGGAGCCCCTGAGGCAGTTAAAGAAGCTAATGCCCCCTGGTCCTCTGACCTCGGGTCGTCTTCCGACCTCCCGGGTGCAGGTTCACCCACCAGACTCACGTAAACGCCCGGCAGTAGCTCTTGCTTTGTTCTGCTTAAGAAGTTCTAATTACGTTCATATTTTGCTTCTTTTTAAAGATTTTTGGAGAATGACCCCTATTAAAGGAGCTTTATTTGGACGAGTCATGGGCGAGGTAATTTGCTCCCAACTGTGGGACAAGCCTTGGTTTGTGAAGGGCCAGGGTTCAAATCCCGCTTGGTGCTTGTGACCTCAGCCTCTCAGGAAGTCCGCGTAAAACGGCGAGGGCAACTTCCACCTTATTGGTATGTTGGGAGATGCGCGGTTAAGGTGAATGACGGCCCGCCTGCACGTGCTTGGTGCTTAGGAACCTCTGCTTCCATCCAGCTCGGAGGGAAGAGGGCAGGTGGCTCGCTCCACTTCCCGAGCTCACCTGAGAGGCTGGCAAAGGGGGGTAGGAAGAGGGGGGGGGGTGAAAAGGGTAAAGTAAGGAAACCCCCAGCTGCTTCTAAGCCTTACCTGGCGCCTCATTAATGTTCCTCACGGAATTTGCACCCCAACTCCCCCGCTGGCCCTAAAACTGGTGCCTGCATCCGCTCGTGCCCTCGCGAATGGTTCACGTGAAATAGACATGGCAAAGTCACGCCCTCCAACTGAGGCCGATGTTCCGATGGTGAAAGCTTGACTGTCGCATCGTAAAAAAGGCTTCCCGTCCTCTTCCTTACTCTGCCCCCCGCCCCCACTTCCCCATCACCCCCACCTCCGTCCCAGCGCTCACACAAAAGGAGACCCCGAGCGAGGCCCCGGAACCTGCGGGCTTGTTTACCACTTCGGGCGTCGCGGCGAGGCGCTGCCCGGCGCCGCCACCTACCGGCGGGCCGCGGCCCTGCACCCGGCGCGGCCGACTGCGGCGGGCCGATGACCCAACGCCGCAGGCATCTGAGGATAACCTTTCCCCTTTCTTTCCAAGACCAAATAAGGGGGCTCTTTCCTCTGCGTGCCGAGCCTGTGGCGGTTAGGCCGAGGGGCGTGGAAAGGAGAATCCGGGAACGAGGCTGACAGTCGGCAAAACAACCGACCACATTGTTCCCGCGGCGGCCGGCCTCCTCCCTCCTCCCTCCTCCGGGCGGGCACGGCCCGTGCCCAGGCGGGGCGCTCCCTGCAGCCGCGCGGACTCGCGCAGCCGGCAGGCACGTGGGCAGGGCCGCCGCCCGGGGTCCTCCGAGGCCCATCCGCGGCACGGCCAAACGCCCCCCACCCCGAGAAGTGGAGGGCAGGGTCCCCGCAGGCCCCCGCCCGCTTGCAGCGCTCCCTGCAGACCCTCCAGGGCCAGCGGCGCCCTAGAGCGGGGCGGGGGGCGCAGACCGAGAGGAGCCGGGCCGGGCTGCCAGGCCTCGGAACCCTGGCCTCACCCCCAGGGAGGGAGTCGCTGGTGGTTGACAGTGTTTGGTAACCACAGAAACCGAGATTTGACCTATATTTTCGAATATGGCCTCAACTCTAGTTTTCCTTCTAGAAATCAAAGTGAGAGTCCGACCTGACTTGCTGTTAATTTCCCGCTGCTCTGGGTTCCCGATGCCACCCAGAAGGTTGGGCAAGTCAGGAGACCTTACTGGCTGGCTTGTGGACTACTTGTGAGTCCCCTGTGCTCTGGGCCAGTGACCGTCCCCTCTCACTGCCTCCTACCAACAGCATGTCCTCCTGCCCACAGACGGTGGGTGTTTCTGGAGGGCAATTGGATGATATTTATCAGGATTTTAAATATGTTTACCATTGGGCCATGTAATTCCACCTCTAAGTTTTATCCTAAGTAGATAATGGGGGGTGTGTATTCAGATGGTGGTCACAGGTCTGCCATGACAGCAACAGCTGGTCATATTTGAGCACTTACGGTGTGCCAGAAACAATTATAAATGTTTTACAAACATCTACTCACAACATCCCTATGCACTGGGTATTATCAATGCCCGTGTTTCACAGAGGAGGACCCTGCACTCACAGGTTAGGTTTCCACTCAAGACCAGCCAGCCGGGGAGTGGTAGAGCCAGGATTTATGCTTGGACTGTGGGGCTGCAGAGTCTGTGCCCTTGACCGCAACACTAAATGTTTATCAATGGGGATTTGATTAATTTAGAGTACATCCGTATAATGGAATACTCTCCAGCCACTTAAATGGTGATGTAGATTGGGAATAATTGGCATGGAAAAATGTCCATGACATATTGTTGAGTGAAAACAGCTGCTTACACAACAGTGTGCATAACAGGATCCTGCAGCTGTGCAGAAGGGCGCTCATGGCAATGCAAACTGTGGTTACCTGTGGGTGGTAGGATTTCAGGTGGCTAATTTCACATTTATGCTTCTGTATGGTCAAACCCTTTCCAGAAGTGAATGTATATTATTTTCTAATAAAAAACTAATTTACTTAAAAAAATATCATAAGGAAATAACCTCTCTCTCACACATGCACACACACACACACACATACACATACACATACCCCTCTACCTATGTGAAACCACTGTCAAGGCTGAGCTCAAATCCAGAAAGCCTTCACTGATCTCTGAAGTTGGAAATTACAGCTCTCTACACTCTCCGTACGAGTGAGAACTCGTGCCCAGACAGATATTCAGCTTCATGAGCACATACCTATGTCACCAGCTAAACTGTAAATTCAGGAAGAGAGACACAGATCTAACTTCTCTGGTATGTCCCTAGTCCTTTGCACAGGATTTTACCCATCACAGGATTCAAATATTTATGAATAGATTGGTATGAACTCATGATGATGAATGATCCACAGAAGAATTAATGGCATAATTAGTTGTTTGATATCTGCTGTTTAGCACACAGTAGGTGCTCCATAAGTGTTTGCTAAGTAAATGAGTCCATGGCTGTTCTGCCTTGAGAATCAAAGAGAGAGTTTCTCCCTCCTTGGGGACCTCTGTCTACCAGGTGATTAACCATCGCCATCAGGCAGACCCCTCAGGAGGAACTGGCTCTGGTTAACTTAGCAGGGAAGTTCTTAGAATTGATGGGAATTCAGGAAAAGGAGGTTTGGAAGTTGGGCATGAATAAAAGATGTCAGGCAGAGGAAAACCTGGCCCAGACCATGTCAGGGCACCCCTGGGCACCACCAGCATTCCAGTAGACACCTTCTGCTATGGCCAATTTTAGGATTCTGTCTGTCCCTTAATTTTGGGTCCCTTCCCTGAGATTGAGAGCCTCTGATGCGGTCAGTTGTCTCAGCCTAAGTGACGTGTCCAGTGGTGTGCTGGCAAATGTTTAACAACCTGCCCTCCAGTGGAAAGAGTTCTGATCTGTGACAATTTGCTGACTTCTATGGTGTGGTCATTGCCACCATGACCAATTTTTATCTGCCAACCATTTAAGGTCAAGAGATTCCTAGGAATTTAAGCTCAAAAGGTTCCTGTGAAAAATTTAATAACCAGCTCCGGTGGGCTGGTGAATCTGGCTTCAGCATGCTCCTGTGTATATCTGCTGACTGAGGCTCCCATGGTGGGGAAACCCCCTGGAGAGAAAGGGGTGGGCTGCCAAGAAGCCCCAAAGAAAATGGCACATATCCATGCACCAGAGCAATCCAGGACACTGCAGCAGGGCCACACCAGCCGATGCATAGATGAATAATGGCTGCCAGGGGCTTTTAGAGGAATACCCAAAGGAGGGCAAAGGATGGAATTTAAGAAGGTCGGCGTAGGGGAGGGTCTTGGAGGCAGAGAGGGGTGGTGGGAGAGATGTTCAGATCTGTTCCCTGTAGATCTCAGAGACTGCCGCTCCTGTGCTTGTGGGGCAGCCCTCCAAGAACAAGGACCCAAGCCTGAAGTTTCCAACAAGTAGTCATGAAGCAGGGAAGCCTTCTTCAGAGTGGATCTTCCCCTTTCAGCAGGTCTCACGTCCAAGGGCAAGAATCATTATAATAATGGCTACTATGGTGGACTGTCACTATGCTAAACTACCTTTGTCTAGGTAGTTTTTTCCAAGGGTAGATTGCAAATAAACAACACCCCTGGAATTTGATCCCCTGTCTTTCTTTGGGATTTCCTGAGCAGTCATCAGATACTAGTCTCCCGGGTCCCCTTTAGCCAGAGACACTGTCAAGCACTCCATGTGGTCCCTTAGAAGCCTGGTTCTCTTGGCTGAGGTGAGGAGGAACAAGTTCCAGTCCCCTCCTTGTGGGTGGGGGCTTGGTACTCTCAGCTCAGTCTTTTCCCAAGAAATACTCTACAGATCTTCTCTAATAACCAGCACCTCAATGCTGCCTTACTCTCACATGGATCCTGGTTTCAAGAGTCATGTGATTGGTTTTGTGCTCACCACTTTGGAATGTAGCCCCTCCGGGCCTCCGGGCGGCTGCTGGAAGCTCAGATTCAGCATCCTGTAAGAATTTACCAACCGGGTGATAATTACAGGGGTCTTGGCCTGATGATAATTTGCTAAATTGTACATTTAGGATGTCGGCATCTTTCTCAATGTGAGCTTATTAAAATACAGATCAAAACCAGTTAACAATTTATACATTTGCTCCTGTTCAAGAAGCAGAAGGCACTGGTAGAAAGGGAAATGGGTTTTTGGATTAACAGTGCAAGAAATGTCAGTACTGGTTTTAAGCGCGATCTGGATCTTAAGGGATTAGCCAAGTTCTTGCCTTGTGAGGGGACTGGGGGCTATGTGAGTCTGGGAGTTGACCCCAAGGGCAGGGGAACTGGGACACTGGCTGGTAAGGAGGTAAGATAAAACAAACCCACACTCTGATCGCCTCTTATCCTCCCTTACAGCCTAGACGTATAAGTCACATGTTCCACACTTACTCCTTCAAAGTCTTTCTACCAGAATAACAGCTATTGAAAAGCCCCCTTGTGGAAGCTGTGTTTCCCCCAGCCCTCCACCTCTGTGTCTGTCTCATGGTGCCCTGGTGGGAAGGTCAGTCATCCAACATTAGTACCATTAGCCATGGCCTATGACTTCTAAGAGCCTCTTCACTAAGTCTAGTCTGCACCAGTCAGTTTAGGATAGGTTCTGCTGTGGTAACAAACAACCCCCAGATCTCAGTGGCTTAGAACAATAGGGATTTATTTCTTGATCATGCTGCCTGTCCATTGCTGGGAGATTGGAGGCTCTGCCCTGCATCAGTGTCACCCCAGAACACAGGTTGACAGAGGAACCGTTAGCCAAAATGTTGCCAGCTGTGTGCTAGAGGGAAAGAGAGCTTGGCAAATGGTGCTGGCTCTTAGAGCTTCTGCCTGGAAGTGACACACACCATTTTCACTCACATTTTATTGGCCAAAGCAAGTCACATATCTAACTCCATGTCCCATGGCAAATCACATGGCCAACCCCAATCTTATCATTGCCTGGAAAAAGAATAGGTAATGTTTGATGAATCTGATGAGCAGCTCTAAGGGCTACCTCACAGCCCCTCACCAAGTCCAGACCCGCTCAGGGGACAGCTGTCAGGGCAAGCAGGGATGGGACAGAGCCCAGTAATGGGTTACATATTTTGGATTAGAAAGAAAAGACCAAGGAGAAAGTGATACCTGGAAGAGGGTGGTGGCAGAGGGCCCTATGGGGAGCCGAGAGGAGAGGTTTAAGAGAAACGGCTGTGGAAGCAGGGGGAAGGGAAGAGTGAGCCAGAATCCAGGAAGGAGAAGAAGCGAGTGAGGACGTTCTCACTGTCAACCTCTTGACTTCTCGGGA